AATATTTTTATATATGATAAAATGAGATGTGAGCTCAGATTTTTATTATGAGCTAACACAATTGGCTACTCGAAACGATGATCAGCACTGCCATCATGATTTGCACTCATCATGATCTATGTATAGAAAAAATTATATCATTTTAAATTTTTTAATTATTGTGTTAGCTGTGTAGAAGGAATGGCTGTTAAGCTGCTTGAAAAATCAATATATTAAACTAGTTCATATGCTAGAAGATTTCAAATTATGTGAAAAGTTTACCATATACATTTGCTGACGCGCTGAACAAGATGTACGGTACTGATCATGAATTTGATTAGCTAATTAGTTTTTCTAATAATAAGATTTGAGCTCACCAGTTTACTCATGTATATACTTACTATAGAGCAATCATTTGAGATGGACAATTTATGGAAACTTTATACACACACTATAAAGTAATAATCGGAGATGGACAATTTATGGGAACTTACTAGTAAGAACCATAGTTCTGAATGAAATTTAGTTTTTCACATTGAACTAGAAGATACCAGACTTTAAGAAGGTAAATGCAACTTCTCTCCTTTCTAATGAAGGGACATTTCTCCATTACTAGGGAAAATCAGTGGGACTTGTCCACCTTGTTAACTGAAAGCAAACATTAAAGATTTATAGAAAACGAATCTAAATTATCAGCGTTTTATTGGGTATATATGATCCTGAAATACCTATGCGAAAAAAATTGAAATCCATATGTTAATATTGTTGAGATCAGATAAAGTAATATGATCCTGGCAATTGTTTAGGTTAACAATAAATTCACACTACTATATAATTAATGAGAATGATCATCTTAACCATACATCAAAACATACAAATCCAGACAACATTTTGAAATAACCTACCATCAAAAATATATGACAAGTTCAAAAGATTAGCCAAACACAATAGGTCAGATTCAATTCAAATCTAAGGACAACGTTCAGAAATAGCTCAGAAATAGCTGGTGACCTACACATTTATAATCATGCTTTCCACAGTTCTCTCTATATGAGATTTCGGAATGTACAAGATCTGTTTTGTCTTTTTTTCTAAAATGCTAAGCCTAGTACTATTGGAGTCATGATCATGATAAAGCAACATTCAAATATCAATAATGGTCTTGATTTGGTTGGCTAGTAGTGGGATAATAGGCTCAAGAATAAAAAGAAACATCAGATTTGAAGAAATCAGAATATTGGTAAGAGAATTTGAGTTACATGACAGGAAACTAAATACAAATGAACTCTCTCCAATATAAAGATAAATATGGAAACATTAATTTGGTGAGAGAGTACTTGAGTGATACGATAGAAGCCAAATACATAAAGAACAAACAAAAGAGCTAACCTACTAAATTCTGATGGAAACCCTATAATCTTCCAATATAATATAACTATCAAAAACCATTTATAGCAAGACACATCCATGGACACATCTTTGTCACTTTCCTTTTCCATGTACATACAAGATGCAAGAATCCAACCCATAAATGGAAACCCTTGGTGAACTTAAGGTGCGCGTGTCTGAAATGACTACAGTACTACACTAGTCCATGGCAAATAAAGCTTGCTATGAAATGCACACTGACACATGATCATCTCAGGAAAGGATATCCAAGCGCTGCCCTTCACTACCAAAATAAAAAGAAAGAAACATAGAAGTGAGACCTCTTGACATTTGATCATGATGTGATCCTCCAAGAATCTCACAGCACATTCTGATCTCTCTCTCTCTCTCTCTCTCTCTCTCTGACAAATGCAGAAGATAATTAACCAGCTAGCTAACCAATCCAAAGTTGTACTTAATTAAGGTTCAATCGACAAATATAACACGAAATCAAGTGCGACATAAGCTAATGAAAAAGCATAATAATAAGATTTTCACCTTCTTGACACTGATCAATCTTGGTCATGTTCCCTTCTGATCATCCTCACCCTGGTTCTCTGCTTGCGCTTGTTCCTGTGGTTTCTTTCGCTTCTTCTTCTCGTAACTGACCCCGCGAGCCCGAGACTGGAGCTCGCGAACCTCGCGAAGGAAAAGCCTGACGGCCCTGGAAGGGGTTATTCTCAGGGCGACCGCCATTCTCTTCGTACGCAGCGCGAAGACGACCGATAAGAGCATCGAGGCTGCCCCAGGCTTGGCGAAGCGGGCAGGGGCACGGGGCGGGTGGGTTCGGGTGCCCGTAGAAGGGGCACATGTGGAGGTGGACCTTGGTCTTGCCGAATTGGTCGAGGTAGCGGAGGAACTCGAGGACGTGGGCCCCGCTGCAGTGGGCCAGAGAGAGCGGGGGGCGGTGGTTCTTGAGGTATTTGTTAGACCCTAGAGGGGGGTGATTAGGGTCTTATGCTAATCTAATCCGATTAAATGCCAATTATGAGGCTGAGGCTGAGGCTGAGGTTGAGATTTGGAAGGGTTGATCAGAGGGTGGGCTGTCTGGGTTCTGGCTGAAGTGATCCATTGGAATTTTGGGTGTGATCAAGATTTTGTGTCTGCAGCTTAAAGATTAGTGTAGTAGGTTAGGGCAGATGAGATACATACGTATGTGTGTGTGTATATATAGAGGGAGAGAGAGAGAGGGAGAGGGGGAGAGAGCGCTCAGCTGCTGGCCAACAGTTGATCACGAAGAAGCAGTAGTCAACCTGACAGGTTAAAAAGAGTTAGCAGAGAGTTTAGTTTTGAAATTAGGAAAGCATACTCTGATAAGAGAAATACGAACATGGGTTCTTGATTACTAGCTACTGGGCTTGTTTTTTCAGAGAAAAAGACTGAAAATTTCCAGAGAAATTGAGAGAGAGAGAGAGAGAGAGAGAGAGAGATTATAGTTTACATGAGTTGAAATCAGGAATCTTACACTGATAAGATATGTATGAACATGGGCTTCTTGATTACTACTGAACTTTTCCAGAAAAGGGTGAAAGAGAGACTGAAATTTTTTGAGAGAGAAATTAATTAAGAAGGGGTTATCTATCTTTCTTTCTTTCAGATTGAAATTGATGGATTTGAGGTCGATGGTGTGGTGAGACCTGAAAGATGACAGTGACAGGTAAAATTAAGCATTAATAGTAGAGTGAAGGAGCCACAGTGGGGTTGCAATTTAAGTAGTGTTTGGCCCCTTTTGAAATTGACTAATGAACTGTCCATAGCCATGCTTAAATTTATTATTTAAAAAAAACTTATCAGTTATATTTCTTGCAATAAAAGATCAAGGACCAAAGTTAACAAGAGGGTCATACATGTTAGTAAAGTGAACACCAAAAGACTGATATCCTCACAAAAAAATTAGAAGGATGAGTATACAAATTGTACAGTTGTCTGCATGAGCTTAGAGCAAAAAGGTATATGATTGATTTAACATAAAGATAGAAAGTTTCTAGATAGTTAAATGAATTAGTATATGATTGATTTAACATGAAGATTTTGAGTGTGTTTGGAAACTTCTCGAAATGAGGTCAGGTTCACACCTGGCATCATTTTGGACAAAATTCAGTTTGGATAAATCTAGGTCAAATTTGGTTCTGGCATCACCCCAATTTTAGAGTAGTTGTCAAACACATCTGAAGGTTTCTAGATAGCATAATAAACTAGGATAAGGACTCTATTAGGGATTTTTTTTTGTGGGAAAAAGTTTTATTTAACTAAAACCTATAAGAATAGCATCTTTAGACACTAAAAGATCTCTTTCTAGAATTCTGTCATGGAAACAAACAAAGTCAGAAGATCACAGTCTAGCAAGCAAATATTATCAAAACTGAAATGATGAGTTGTTCCTGGAATATCTCTTGTATTCAAATGTTGGTTATATCGATCTCCACAATATCTCATCTGTTGTAACTGACGCATCTTATCCACTTCTATAAATAGAAACACCAAAGGGAAAACTCTATGATTACCTACTTCCCCCATATATTTATATGATATCAGAGCCCTTGACTAACGTCAATAGAAACTCTATCCACAAATCTCCTAGACTGTCCAATGACAACTACCTCCACAAGCTCGATTGGAGCTCGATTGAAGCTTCCAACACAGCCAACAACACCAACCCAAACACCAATCTTCTCTAATCCACACAGAGCAATACTAATGGCCTGCCCTCAATCACCTCCCCTACACTCACCATCAAACTAGATCAGGAGAATCACACTAGATTGGAAGAACTATTACTTGTGGGCTTCGACACTTCTCTCAGCACTTAGGCATTTGATCTTGACTTCCTTGTCACCCAAGACAATACAGAACCTCCATAATTTCTCCTACTCATTGTAGGAGAGAGCTCCGAAGCACAACATACTACCAATCCAGCCTGTACCTCCTGGAAACAACAAGATAGAATGGTGTTTCTTTGGTTGAAGTCCACCATCGCTGAGCGTGCATTGGGTCATATTACTCGTGCCACAACCTCTCATCAGGCTTGGCTTACTTGCAACATATATTTCTATCTCAATCACATTCATGAGTCATGCGCTTCCAATTGCATAATTTGCGACAATGGTCGTTATCAATTTTTGAGTCTATTGAGAAGAAGAGGTCTATTGCTGATCTCCTAGTTGCTATGTCAAATCTAGTCAATGAAGCATATCTTTTTAACTGCATTCTAAAAAACAAAATTTCTTCATAGTCAATTTCCCGTCCATGGCATTCTCTGACAGGGAAGTGTCCGGTCAAAGTGGCATTACCTATGCTTCCTTTGATGGGAGTTCTTTGATTAGAGAGGCTCCCGAATTTAATGTGGATTGCCTGGAGGACGTCCCTAATCTTGTGCAGTGAGGGAGTCGTTTTATTCTGCGTCAGTTGATTATTAACGTGCCATTGACTAAGTATCAGGAGTCGGCTGAACCTTTGAGGAAGCCTTAATATTTGTTCAGCGACTCTGTCGAGGATCTTGAAAGGCTCTCGTGTGGCTCGGAGCAATAGTTGACTAAGCATGGTGGAGTATTTCAATTCTTGCCTCCTATTCCTCGACATCATTCCCTTATACAACTTAGGAACTTGGCGGTGTCCTGCGAAATATCCTAGCGGTTGACAGAAGATTATGAATGCATTCATTACAGATTCAACGGTGGGGACGTCAAGACTCTGGGTTTGAGTGATTGGAATTCTATTTGCGGGCTTCATCCTAGGGTGTTGGGCTAGGACTGTTTGCCACAAAATGAGCTAATGGTAAAAGCAAATACTATGAAGAATTGCCTAGCTTGATTAGGAAGGGAGCTGCCGGTCAGGAAGTATAAGTACTTTAGCTGGGTTCATTCATCTACTGATAAATGGTGGATAAGGATGAAGAGCTATGTGCTTAGTCGTTGGGGAAATGAGTTAGCAAGTAACGGATTGTATGTCCTCATTCGAGCTAGCATGTATGGTCTCCCAATCAGTGGAGATCACTTCTTTGCTTTGTTTGAGATATACAATCTAGGCACAAATACTTTTGAGACCAATAATGGAGAGTTAGGTCTTCCTCTCTACAAAATGATGAAAGTGTTCGGGTTACCGATGGGGACATACCTTATCAGGAATATTTTGCAACCAACAGTTAGTTTAATCAGATGAAAGAGACGGCCTCTATTGCTCACGACATCTTCTAGGAGTTAACCTGCCATTATCAGACAGCCATAGAAGATGCTGATATAAAGGCCAAAAAGAAATCCCCACAAGTTAGCTTGAATCAGTTTGCGGATTATCTTTTTTAACATCTTGAGGATCACTCCAAAAATGAGGTCTGTGAATTGCCTCCTTTGACCCCATCTGAGATCAACAAGCTTTTGTTGAAGACAAATGCCCAATCGTACACTACCCGCTTAGTTGAAGGAAAATTTCCAAAGGTTACGAAGTTCGAGTCCTTTTTGTGGTGTGCTCAAAAGAAAATTACTCCGAACACTCTTCTAGCAGGGTACTTATCCATTTGGCTAAAGAAATGTGTAGTACCTCATCAACCCTCTGATGCCTTACCTATCAAAGTCTTGTACCCTGCTGTTTAACTGGCAATCGATCGTAAACTTCCCCTGCTCCCAGCTGTGATTGCTGATATCCACAGCGGGCTTCGTCACCTGGCCACCACATTTACACAATAAGGAAAGAAGGCTTCAAGTGAAGTTCTTACTACCAAAATAGAGCTGCCATATACTTATCTAATGGCGTGGCTTGTCCTTCATCGGCCTAATTTGATGACAACACCTGAGACTACCGATCTAGGTCTTCCTCTGTTGCAGATCTTAGAGGTGTGTAAATGGATGGCCAGGCAGTATCATGAGGTATCAAGGCAGTTCCAGGTTCATAAGTGTTGGGAATTTTTTAATTCTTCCCTCAATTCTCTGGAACTTATAATGAGATGCTCATAGATGAGGAAGAGCCAAGGAGAAATAGAACTACCTTAGATGTAGGATGTTTTCACTGGTTAATGAACATCCACCCCAGCTACCTCATCTTCCGAGTGACGAATGTTCACAGTAACGAGCCTTATCTTCCCTGTAGATTCGCTCGCCAGTTTGGATATGACCAACTATATGTTGGGAACCCAAACAGAAGATTGAAGACTTGTGGTGGTCTCATCAATGGTGCACATGCTTGGTTTTGGAGTATAAGTGGTTGTACAAATGCCTAATTTAATCTTTCAGTCACTAAGACCCATCTATAGATGACATTCTTGTATTGCAAATGGCTCATCGCCGCCAACTCACCCACGAAAAAGAAGAAAATCTTAGAGCTAGAGGAGAAAACAACATCCAAAGTTGCCACTGAAATGGTTCAAGAAGCTATTCTTTCTGGGAAAGGAAAGGAACTTATTGAATCCTCCAGCAAAGGAAAACAAGTTATTGATTCTGATAAAAGCGAGGGGGAGTTCTTCGAAGATGTAGCTTGGACATCTGAGGAAGAAGGTGGGGCTGAAGGTGTTGAAGTTGAAAGTGGCGATGAGGAAGGTGCATCGGATCTTCCATCTTCTTTCTTTCCAAGGTAAAGCACGAGTTCACCCGTTGCTCATAGGACTCATCGTGCTCACCTACCTAAATCACTGGAAGCTCTAAAAAAAATGAAGGAGAGGGTTGTTCTGACATCTCCCAATCAGATGACAGTGGAAGTTCTCAGTGGAGATGAAGAGGAAGAAGATACAATATCCCTCACTCATAGAAAGAGATCTCGACTTTCAACTCAGGCTCAAATTCAAGCTCAAGTTTCTTCAAAAGCCGAGTTGCGCATAAAATATCGCCATGAGAGATCCGATACTTTGGGAGAAGTCCGTCTGCCAAAAAGAACTAAGATGGCCATGCATCAACGACGTACCCCTTTATCTGTAATGGAAGAGGAGCCGGTCTGCAT